AGACAAGCAAGAAACTGGGACCAATTTTATGGGACCATTTCCCATAGTAAAGATAATCAACCCAGTCACGGTGCAATTGAAATTGCCCCAAATGCTAGGGAAGATACACCCGGTATTCCATTGTAGCCTCTTAAAACCCGTTGTCGGATCGACCCTGAGGCCACTACCCTGTGAGCCCTGTGAGCGGGAGGCCAGACCCATTATGAGGTGTAGAAAATCCTCAATTTGAGGTGGCACAGGAGACAACTCCAATATTTAATCAAGTGGATTAAATATCCCTTATCAGAGGCATCTTCGGGAAAGAGTCGAAACATCCAGGTTGATCGCCTTATAGCCAAATTTCACACGGAAAATCCAAAGCCGGATGGTGGATTGGGTCCCTAAACTCTACATTTGTATTCAAATTGTTTTGCTTTGCACAGGTCGCCCTTAGGAAGTGAGGGGAGCTGAATGTCAACTTGCAAAGCTATCAAGTTGCCATGAGCAGGAGGGAGGGAGAACTGATTGAACTGGTTGATTTCCCTAACTAAAACTACGTTCCACAGATGCTTTTCTATCGCAATCAGGAGAGTTTTAGGTTTCACAGCCAGGCAAAGTGGTTAATTGGAGAATGTGATTTATGACATGGCCAGGAAGGAGGGGAGAAACAGGGTCATAGGGGAATGTAAATCTACGTAGGATTAGTTCTAAAACTGCATTCGAATATTGCCGAAATGGTGCTCCAATAAATGACTGTATTTCTTTTAAAGTTTGGCTCGTGGTTTATGAATTAATTAGGGCATCATTTGGAAACTTCACAGACAGGGCTTGTGCAGAGCCTGTGGAGGGTGAAAAACAGGCCTCTGGAAGTTAGGAAATGGGCTGTTTCCAGCCTCCTGAGGGCTGGGGGAGGCTTTTTTCGCCCTCCTGGAGGCTCCAGGAAATCCTGCGGAGCCTGGGGAGGGTGAAATACAGGACTATTGGAAGTCCAGAAATGGGCTGTTTCCGCCCTCCCGGAGGCTCCAGGAAACTCTTTCCGGCCTCCAGAGGCTTCAGGGAGTCCTGCTAGGCCTAAAAGGGAGCACGCGGGGGGGGGTGAATCCCGAGGGGGGCAAGCAGCAGGGGAGGTTCACACGTGCATGTGTGGGGGGATGGCCCCCGCAACGGGGGGCATTCCATTATGGGTGTGGCCACGTGAATGCATTGTCACGCACGTGCCTTTGGCACCCAAGCAAAAAAAGGTTAGCCATCACTGCCTTAGTCCTATTTTTCATGAAACTAGACATACCCAATTCCAGCAACCGTTCTTTATATGTTTTAGCCTCCAGTCCACTAATAATTTTTGTTGCTCTTCTCTGCACTCTTTCTAGAGTCTCAAGATCTTTTTTACATCTGACAACCAAACCTGGATGCAATATTCCAAGTGTGGTCTTCCAAAGACATTATAAAGTGTTACTAACACTTCATGTCATCTTGATTCTGTCCCTCTTAATGCAGCCTATGATTCTGTTGGGTTTTTTTTTTCTTTCTGGCAACTGTAGCATACTGCTGACTCATGTTTAAGTGGATGTCCACTAGGACTCAAAGATTGCTGTCGCACTTACTACTGTTGAGCCAGGGATCACCTATTCTATGCCAAGTGCATTTGGTTTTTCTTTCCTATATGTAGAACCTTACATTTCTCACTGTTGATTTCATTTTGTTAGATGGGGCCCAATCTGTCGATTCTTGTATATCTTGAGCTTTTCTTTGTTGTTGTGTGTTGTTATTCCTGTCAATTTGGTCTTCTCTGCAAATTTGATGAGTTCCCCTTCTATCCTCTTGTCTAAATCATTCATGAAGATGAACAGATCTTGTGAATCCTCCTGTTCTGTTCTGTTTTTTCCGTGTTCAGGAGAGTCTCGTGTCCTTTGAGGAGGTGGCTGTGTCTTTCTCTGAGGAGGAATGGTCTCAGCTGGATCCTGACCAAAAAGCGCTGCATTCGGAAGTCATGCTTGAAAACCATAGGAACGTGGTCTCTCTGGGTAAGAGTTCTCTAGTCCCCAATCAGAGAGTTCAAGAAGACAGATGATAGTTAGTTTTTTTTATTACAAAACCAGTAATCAGACACCGTCTCCTGGGAGGGAGAAGGAAAGGATCTTCTCGTACTCCAAGGAAGGAAAGAGTCAATGTCTCTTTGCTTAGATGCTTTCTCTGCCATTTCTTATCTCTATTTCTCCATTTCTATTTGAATTTATCTGTGGAGGCTGAAAAGAACAAAGTGTGCTTTTGTGTCCTCTGGAGATCATGTGAGAGGAGTGTGTTGTCATTTGTTCTCTGAAACCTCCAAAATTGTGTGAAAACAGAACTTTCACACTCGGCCCATGGAAGAGCATTCTCCCAATCCAGTTTAAGAACAAAGGCCTCATGCAATGTCACTCAGAGCATCCTAGGGTACAGGTAATCCCCGAGTTACGGCAGTTCACTTAGCGACGGTTCCAGCCCTCCCCCAAGTACTTGAGACCCAGTCTCAAAATTATGAATGTTGCAGCACCATGGCCATTTGACACACGAATGACAGAAGAGGCGTTGTAACATTCACCCTACCTATTCTCCCACCCCACCCCGCTTGGACTTACCGTACTTTTCAGACTGTAAGACACACTCCCCCCCCCAAAAAACAAGTGGGTGGAAATGTCTGTGCGTCTTATAGAGCACATACGGGCCTCTTTTTGGCCTCCCAAATCCTCTGTGCGTCCCTTTTTTGCCTTCCCTGGCGTCAAGAAGCAATCTGCAAGGCAAAAATGGGCCCGCTTTTGGCCTCCGGAGGCCTTTGTGGGTCCCGTTTTTGCCCTCTCCAGCATCAGAGAGGCTGAAAACGGGATGCTCGGAGGGTTTGAGAGGGCCAAAATGAGCCCTTTTTGGGCCTGCAGAGTGCTTCTGGATGCCAGAGAGGGGGAAAACGGGACATGCGGAGGCCAAAAATGATTTTTAATCAGTGGAACATCTTGCCTCCAGAAGTTGTGAATGCTCCAACACGAGAAGTTTTTAAGAAGATGTTGGATAACCATTTATCTGAAGTGGTGTAGGGTTTCCTGCCTAAGCAGGGAGTTGGACTAGAAGACTTCCAAGGTCCCTTCCAACTCTGTTATTCTATTCCTTAACTCAAAACTGACAGTGAGTGACAGTGTTCCAGAAAAACCTCCTCTCCAATTAAAAATTCTGAGGCAAACATTTTCTCAAAGTTCTAGAGTAGGTATACTCTAGAGTTTACTAGAGTAGGTATACTGGCACATCTTGGGAAAACACAAATCTGAAAATTCTGGGTTTTCCCTCAGTAAATCAAAACCCCCAAAACCATCCCCTCACTCATCAGTCGATCACATGCTCCAATTGTCAGGGTTCCAAGTAACACCCCCAACAAAATCAAACTCCGAGGCCTGAAGTTCCTCAAAGCTAACTTTTATTAGAGATGTCATATTGGCACATCTGGGAAAACCCGAACCTGAAAGCTTCTGGGTTTTCCTCACCCAAAAGGAAGTTCAAGACCCTGCTCACATCTTCCACATGTCCCACACAGCTCCAATCAGTACTTTCTTGAACAGAAGACATCCTCCAATTTCTTCTTTGAGAAGAAGTTCAAGGTATGAGACACCATGGCCTTGAACTTCTCTAGAGAAGTTTGTTATGGCTATATCTACTTCCCACTGGAGGATTGTGGCAGGCCTGGATCCTGAAGGCACAAAGGTAATATGGCTTCCAGGGATGACACCAATCACCATCCGTCCCATCTCGAAATAGCACTCCAACCACTCCTCCAGATGCAGGTTCGTCCTGACCTTGACCGACTGGAAGAATGCTATTTTGTTTAAATACAAACCCTCAAATATATCCCCACCTCTTATTTTCCCACACATGAGAAGGTGGCAGTTGGAAGCTTCCTGTCTAATATGGCTTCCAAAGCTGTTCTGGGCTTTTTTCCTTTCTAACAGCCAGCAAGCTCTTCCTGCTAGGTGGGAGACCTATATAGATCTATTTCTAAAGCAAATGAGCTAGAAATAGATCTATATAGGTCTCCCACCTAGCAGGAAGAGCTTGCTGGCTGCTAGAAAGGAAAAAAGCCCAGAATCGAGTGGATGTGATTCTACAGAGCTGGGGCTGCAGAAAAACCTTGGTTATGTAAGGAAAACCTGGCTACTCCCACGTAAAATTGGAAGTGTTTTGGCAACGTTTCGACAAAGTCTCATTCGTCATCTTCAGGCTGGTGTTCTCAGCTTCGTGCTTCCAGGAGCAAATATATATATATATATATCAGAGATAATTGTAAAGACAGAGATGTTTTCTAGATATTTTCAAAGCTTTCATCTTTCCTGACTCATGAATATAGAAATCATCATGTCTATATCACACCCCTGTAAGCATACAACCTAATGGAATTTCGGAGAAATTTAGAAGGAAATTTCCTACACTTTGATCTTTTCCTCTAAAAATGATCTTGTTATCATTTTCATTTCCCTTTTGCTTTGAAGGTAATAATGGGCAGGAGAATCAAGATTCCTGCGAACTGTTCCAAGTGATCAATGCTAAAGATGGAAGGGAGAAGTTTGGAATTCGAATGGAATTAGGAAGCCATGAGAGAAGCCAGTCAAAGAATTGGAATCAGGAAAGCTCATCTTCCACTGATGCTCCGATGCAAGACTTTCTTGCCCAACAAGAGAAAATAGGGGAAAAATATACTGCAAAAAGTATGAAGCTAATCAAAGCTAAAGTACAAGTAAATGAACACTATTTAACCCCCAAAAAAGGAGAAGATGCTATAAGAAGACACAACGGAGAAAATTACAATGGGACATTCATTCTTTCTCTTGGAAATAACTTCCTTACAGCTCAAAAAGCAGTTGACACAAAAGAGAAGCCTTATAAATGTTTGGAATGTGGAAAATGTTTTAGAACAAGCAGGCAACTTACTTCCCATGAAAGGATTCACACTGGGGAGAAACCATATAAATGCATGGAGTGTGGAAAGACCTTTGCTCAAAGAGGTAATCTTACTTCCCATAAGATGATCCACACAGAGGAGAAACCATATAAATGCATGGAATGTGGAAAGACCTTTGCTCAAAGAGGTAATCTTACTTCCCATAAGATGATCCACACAGGGGAGAAGCCGTATAAATGCACAGATTGTGGAAAGACCTTTGCTCGTAGCAGTACACTTACTATCCATAAAAGGATCCACACAGGGGAGAAACCATATAAATGCATGGAATGTGAAAAGACCTTTGCTCAAAGGGGTCATCTTATTTTCCATAAGATGATCCACACAGAGGAGAAACCATATAAATGCATGGAATGTGGAAAGACCTTTGCTCAAAGGGGTCATCTTATTTCCCATAAGATGATCCACACAAGGGAGAAGCCGTATAAATGCATGGAGTGTGGAAAGACCTTTGCATATAATAGTGGCCTTGGAAGACACAAAAAGCTCCACACAGGAAAGAAACCATATAAATGCATGGAGTGTGGAAAGAGCTTTGCTGACAAAAGTAATCTTATTTCCCATAACAGGATCCATACAGGGGAGAAACCATATAAATGCATGGAGTGTGGAAAGACTTTTGCTCATATCAGTTCACTTACTTCCCATGAAAGAATCCACACAGGGGAGAAGCCATTTAAATGCATGGAGTGTGGAAAGACCTTTGTTCTGAGCAGTGGACTTACTTCCCATAAGATTATCCACACAGGGGAGAAGCCATATAAATGCATGGAATGTGGAAAGAGCTTTGCTCAAAATGGTCATCTTACGTCTCATAAAAGGATCCACGCTCGGGAGAAACCATATTGCAATAGCAATTCCACTTCGACTTACATACCACTCCACAATGTTTTACCACACTCTCTGAGCAGTTTACAAAGTCAGCATATGATCCCCAGCAATCTGGGTCCTCATTTTACCCACCTCAGAAGGATGAAAGACTGAATCAACCATGAGCCAGTCAGGATCCAACTCCTGTCTGTGGACAATTAGCCTGTAGTACTGCATTCTAACCACTGACCCACCCTGTCTCTGTAGATTTGTATGTGTATGCGTATTTTGCCTTTTTGATCCAAATGAGACAAGGCTGATCCAACAAAATGAAATTTAATGTGGAGAAAAGTAAGATTTTACACCTGGGCAGGAAAAACAGATTACTTGAAACCTAGCTCAAAAAGAGTAATTGGGAGAGGGACCTTGGGAGTCCGAATCGATGATGACTGTTTTATAAAGCCTTAGTAAGACCACACCTGGAATACTGCATCTAGTTTTGATCATCACATTACAAAAAAGATGTTTAGACTTTGGAGAAAGTGCAAAGAAGAGCAGCTAAGATGATTAAAGGCCTGAAGACTAAAATATATGAAGAACGATTGCAGGATTTGGGTGTGGCTAGTCTACAGAAAAGAAGGATTAGGAGTGACATGGTAGAAGTATTCCAGGGGGATCAATTTATTTTCCAGGGCACCAAACGGCACAAGAAACAATGTCTGTAAAATAATCAAGGAGAAAAGTAACCTCGAATTAAGGAGAATTTTCCTTACAGTGAAGACAATTAACCAGTAGAACAGCTTTCCTTCAGATATTGTTTTTAATATAGGGCCAAATTATTTAATATGTTTTAAATTGTTTTTAAACTTTATGGATATACTTGTTTTATTGTGGCTGTGCACCACCCTGAGTCCCTCGGGAGAAGGGCGCAATAAAAATTTAAATAATAAATAAATAAATAAATTTCGGTTGCTTCATCACTGGCATTTTTAAGAAGAGACTGGATCCTATAGGAATATCAATAGATCTTGAAATGGTATAGGATCTCCCGCTTGAGCCGAAAGTGCGGATGGGGCACCAGCCGCCAAGGACTTGTACCAGGCTTAGGACTTCAGGCACCAGGGCTCCCTCAATTCCTGGATGGACAGAAGGAGTCTCTTGGGGGGACTTTCAAAAGAAAAAAAATTCTTCTTCCGATTCACTAGTGGATCCAGAAGTCAGTTAAAATCTCTCTCCAACTGCCATATCAAATTGGAACCACAAAATGTTATCAGTACATTTTTGTCTAAAATTAGGTTAATTTTGCGTTGGGCCATAAAAATGATTCATGCCATCTGACAGTCTGTTTGTTTACCTACTAAAAGTAATTATACGACTTGAAGATGTTTGCAATAAAAATGCCAAATTGAAACTTTTCAATTTCCACCGATTTAAAAATGCTCCATCCATTTTCTTTTTTTTAATCAAGTTTTATTGATTTTTTTTCTTTTACACACACATATTTTATGAACAGAGTATTGACCATATCATAATTTATACAACTTATCATATCCAATTTCATTTTACATAGTTACCATTTTTGCCAAAATATTCTTTTTCCATACTTTTTAATCTTATCTTAATACTTCTATGCTTATTTTATAAACGGCATCACCATCTACCCTCAAATCCTACTTTCTTAACATTATTTCAATTAGTTATCCATTGTTAATCATATGTATTCCCTTTTAACTTTCATATTAATTTGTTCTTCATCCTAATAAATTTGAACATGCTCGGGGTTGCCTTTCTACCATTTCATCTCCCTTGTTTTACAACAATTCTTTGCCTTTCCTCTTTTTCTTCCCTCCCTTCTATCCTTTTCTACTTTCCTCTTTCCTCCTCTCCTCCTCCTCCTCTACTTCCCCTTCCTTTCCCCTCCTCCATTCCTTCCTCCCTTTCTAACTGTCCCTCCTACTCTTATTTCCCCTCCCTTTCTTCCTATCCTTTTTCCTTTCTTCTATTCCTCTTTCTCCTTCTCTTCTCCTTTTTCCCTCTACTACTCCTTCCATTCTCTTTCCATTGTTGTATTAATTTTCAATTCAATATTTTCCACAATGGTATCTGGGCAACCCGATTTTTCTCCACATATTAACTATATTTTTCAAAGTCCCCATCACATTTTAAAATTATTAATGTATCTCAACTCATTTCATAATTTCATATTCCAACAGCAATAATTTTCCTCATTTACTAGCCTTTCAATTTTATATCTTAATTTCCATTATTTTCATATTTAAACCAATCTACATTTCATATTACACCTGTTGATCCATTTTACAATAAACAATATACTTCTTGTTTACTTCTTATATACAATTTCTACTATTAATACATTTCCCTTAAATCAACCATTAAATGCTTTATTTCCCTTCTTTCTCTCCATTATTCTTCCCCTTTTACCCATTTTCTTTTGGTCTCTCCAAAATTCCACTTCTTAATATTTTTTTCCCTTTTTCCCATTCTCTTATTTTCTTTTTTTCTTTTTATATTTATTGAATCTTTCCCCTGAATCGTTTCTCTCATTTTTAAAATTGTTACCCTTTTAATTCTCCCCCTCAGTCTTTTCCCATCTCCTTCTCCTCCTTTCTTTTTTGGGTGATATTCCCCCCTATCCACATTTTGTTTTTCACTGTCAATCCCAGTGTAATCATCTATTTTTTCATCTTCAATTATTTTCCTTTCAACATTATGTTCTTGCTTCACATTTATATTCTTTTTCCTTTTTTTGGGGGGGGGGGTATTCTAACCATATTTCCGCTTCTTTATCACCCTTAAATGCTTCACGCATCTTCTTAAACATTTCCATTACTTCCTCATATTCCCAATGTTCCATATTGTCTATTCAAACATTTTATTTTAATTTATATGTAGTTAAAATTCAAGTCCATGTAGTGTCTCTCTTATTTTTTTATTTCCAAATAATATCCAGTTCAAATATTTATCTAGACCATTCCAGTTTAAGGCTTTGTTCTTTTTCACTTCTTTTCAAAGTCGGGATCCAGCTGTTTAAACAAGTACTCCTTAAAATTTCCCACGATAGTCAAAATTCTTACTGTTCCTTCAATGTTTAAAGCATTTGTTGCAGTGCTTTCTTTCCAGCAGATGTCTCTCTCCAGTCCACAAATCCCCAGGCAACAAAGTATCACTTTTAAATCCATATAGAAAATACTTTCTTGTCTCTTCAATTTCTTTTCCTTTTATTATTAAAAAATGCTTTCTCTCAGTTTTCTTTTTCTTGTATTATTTCTAATACCTCCAAATTCAATTTTAAGTCCAGGTAGAAAGTTTTCTTTTTTGATCTTTTAACTTCCTCTTTGTTCTTTTCTCTCCAATTAACGGGGCGGCATATAAATTTAAATAAATAAATAAATAAATAACATTCCCAAGTGCCAATTAGCCGTTCATTTCACGCTGGGTCCCTCCAGTTGTGAAGAAGAGAAATGGTTGAAATGGGTGGGTGAATGTAGGGGGAGTCTCAGGTGCCCCCCCCCAATGGCTCCCCACAAATGCTCAGGGAGGACCGTGCCTGCTGGGCTTCTGCTCCTCAAAAGGGGGCTTGAGGGGAAGCAGAGCAAGGGAGCCTCTGAGCAGAAAGGGGGGTCCTGCCCTTTCGTCCCCCTGGATCTGCCCACCCTCCTCCTGAACCAGTTCTGGCTTTGGACGCAAAGTAGCCAGGATGGTGGATCCAGAGGCAGCAGAGGGAGGAGCCTCCTGTGGGGGCAGCAAAAAGGAAGAGGAAGAGGAAGGGAGGATTCCAGGGTTTTCTTACATCTGAAGTTTATTCTTTTATAGCAAAGCAAAGGGAAGGGAAGTGATTCGTAGGAAGAATAATATAGATGAAGCTGCTGTGGGTTCAAAGCCAAGAAAATTAAAGAATTTTTAAAACCACCAATAACTTGTAGGAGAGGATGAGATGAGGAAGGAAGAGGAGAAACTCACCTGCAGGAGGTTGGATGGGAGTTGCTAGAAGGAGAAAAAGACCCAATCAGGACCCTTCATGGGCTGGAGGACTCAGGGGGACCCCCTCCCCATCGATAGCCCATAATAGGTTGTGTGATCTTCACTTATAGCTCCTCAAACAAGAGAAGCTGCCAAAAATATTCTTGAAGGCGCCCCTCTTAGCCACCTGCTAAGCTTGATGAGAGGCCTCCCCTAGAGGGTCCCTTCCCCACCACCTCTCCTCCAGCCCCCCAGACTCACCTTTCTTGCTCTTCAGGTAGGAGAAGAGCCCCACAGCCAGGAAGGCCACTCCTATCACGGCCCCCATGATCCCCGTCCAGAGTTTGCTCCTGGCAGAGCTGGAGGAACGGGGCTCTGGGGAAGGAGAAGGAGCCTCACCTGAGCAGGAGGATCAGGCCCACCTTCCCCCAAGAGGGTCCATTCTAGCTCTCCCCATGGAGTGGGCTTCTTCCCCTTCTCAGGGCAGGATGGGGTCCCCAAACTAGGAGGGGAGGGAGGGGCTTACCCCACTGGACGGTGATGGGGGCCTCCAGGCTGGCATGCCCCACCTGGCAAGCATAGAGGTCCTCCCTCTGGGGCTGGGTCTCCAGCATCACCTGGAGCTGGTAGGTCCAGTCTCCGTTCTGGAGCTCCTCCCCGAAGGCCACGCCCTCCTCCTCCGGCCGCCCATTCTTCAGCCACTGGACCTCGATCTCCACTGGGTAAAAGCCGGTCGCGGTGCAGAGGAGGATGGTGTTGGGGGAAGACGGGTCCATCTTGGTGGGGGAGATGGAGACGGAGGGCTTGGCTGGAGGGAAGGAGGGGAAGGAGCCACATGAGAGACACAGGAGGGCCCAGAACAGGAGACATTTCGCTTCCCATCCGAGGAGCTTCTTCAGTTCTGACTGTCCCAATTGAAGCTTCTTGGGTGAGAAGCAAAAGGTCTTCAAGGGAAAACAAAGTCTATTTGCCGTCTGAAGAAACTCCTTTGGGACGGTGTTTGGAGTCCTCTTCCAAAGCGAATGGCAGCAAGGAATGAAAAGGGATCCTGAGAAATGGGAAAACCTAAATCCTTCCTGGTTGGGATCAGGTGAACTCATCCAAAGGGAAGAATCCTCAAAATAGGCAAATCCGACAGCAGAATAAGAGAATAAGAGAGTTGGAAGGGACCTTGGAGGTCTTCTAGTCCAACCCCCTCCTCAGGCAGGAAACCCTCCACCATTTCAGACAAGTGGTTGTCCAATCTCTTCTTAAAAACTTTAAGTGTTGGAGCATTCACAGCTTCTGAAGGCAAGGTAAGTTCCAGATTGATTGTTCTCACTCTGAGGAAATTTCTCCTTCGTTTTCTGTCGTTTCTCTCCTTGATTAGTTTCCGTCCATTGCTTCTTCTCTTGCCTTCTGGTGCTTTGGAAAAGAGGCTGTGATGTGGCCGCAAAGAAAAGGGCAGAGAAGCCATTTGCCCATAATTGCCAGAAGACTGACAGACCCCAAATTCTTTAGGGGCAAGATGGACAGAAGAGATTTTGGGGATTTCAAGGTGCTGCAGAGGATCCTTCCGGGGGGGGAGGGGACTTTGGGGGGGATTCAGAAGGAAGGATTTGGCTGCAGGTGAAGCTGAGTCTGTGAACAAAAAGGGGGTTTCAAGGAGGGATTTTCTCCCAGACCCCCAAAATTGGCTGAAATTTCTCAGCCTTTGAATCAGCTTCTGCTCAAGACAGACACCAGACCAGGATCCCACGTGATTCGGGCTTTTACATCTTGGTTTAAGCATTGAATCATTATAAATTTATTATAATCATTATAAACTTCCTTTATTTGTTTGTTTGTTCTTGGATTTAAAAGCTGCCGGACTGCAAATGACTCAAATGAAGAAAGAAGAAAAAGGAGCTTATCCAGCGGACGACAGGCAGAAGAGCCTCCAGTAATCCTTTTTGAAATTTTTTCTTTAAAAAATCATTTTTTTTATCCCAAAGTGCCAAAAACAGCATTTCTGGAGCAGAAGAAGAGAGGGAGGGGCTGCTGGGTGGGAAGAGGGAGGGAGACGGGAGGTTCCTGAATAGGATAGAAATGAATCAGGGATAGAGAGAAATATATATGTAGATACAGGGAGTCCTCGACTTAGGACCACAATCGAGCCCAAGATTTCTGTTGCTAAGTGAGACATTTGTTCAATGAATTTTGCCCCGTGTATCTTTCTTGCCACAGGGGATCACGTGGCCCCGGGACGCTCCCACTGTCATAAGTATGAGTCAGTTGCGAAGGATCTGGATTTTGATCATGTGACCCGGGGGATGCTGCAATGGTCGTAAGTGTGAAAAGCGGTCATAAGTCATTTTTTTCACTGCCGCTGTAACTTTGAACAGTCACTAAATGAACTGTTGTAAGTCAAGGACTGCCTCTATTGAATAGGCGAGAGAGACCTTGCTGGATACCTCTCCCCCACCCCAAATCATATTAGGGTTGGTTTTCTGGGATCATAACAGAATAAGAGAGTTGGAAGGGACCTCCGTTTTGCGCCCCACCCCCGCATGATACTCATCCAATCTCCTCAGTATTCCTGGAGAGGTGGACTAGATGCCCTCTGAGTTCCCACAGTGCCCAGAAGGAGCCTAAGATGGAGCTACCGAGAGTCCAGAAGGGCAAAGTGGATGCAGAGCTCGAGGGGTCCTTCGGGGCTCAGTATGGGAGGAGGGACCCCCAGCAGCTGCCCTGGATGACAAGGGGGGAGGGGCAGCCCCACAGCCAGCCGGGACTTGGGGGTCACACGCTTCCCCCAATCCGAAGGGAAGCCAGGAAAACCCTCAGCTGACAGTCCACACAGGATCTGCAGGGATCCCTCCTAATCCAGCCGGATCACCAGGCCATGGGGGAATTTCTGCACGGATCTCTTGGCTTTACAAGAGAAAACGGCCTTTCCCTTCTTTGAAAGCCGTGCCTGTATGAAGCGGCTCCTTCCGATTTCCCACCCCGCAACCCCAAATGCGAAGGAATCTCCCCCTTTCTTTCTTTCTTTCTGTGGGTCGGGATCCCCCTTTTCCAAGCAAAGCAGCCCCAGATGAAGATCCCGGAATGAAGTTCGGCCGTTTCTCCTCCGCTTCCCGCTCCTTTCCTCGGAGAACGTCCACATCTTCTCCATAATGCACAACAATCTCTACTTTCAGCAGAAAAATATATAAAGTAATTTTTTGGAAAAAATTGTGCCAGGATAAAAGTGCAGATATAAAGTGGAATCTGATGAACCTTTTCCCCATAAATTTGCATATTTCGGTTGTGGAACAAGAAGTGCTCCTAAAACGTCTTTTGATTATTATTTATTAAGACTATTATGGCATAAAACAGAAAATAAAGGTAGTGAGGAAAAGGGAAAGGAAGGGGAAGGAGAAGCAGGGGATAAAGGGCAAAGGAATAAAAGAGAGGGAGAAACCTTTTTTCCAGCACAATAATAGAGGAAGTCAAATTGCAGCCTCAGTTCTTATTTCTACTGTAGATTCTTAGTAAATATGAACCATTTCTATCTCCACCCCCTTCCTGTCTCCCCTCGCCCGCCCGCCTTAAAGAAAGGGAGGCCCTGAAAGGAAGCTGGTAGGTCTCAGCAGGAAAAGATCCAGCCTGCCCCTCCCCCTCCCGTTCCACAAACCTCCACCCCCACCCCCACCCCCGGGGCTCACACTGCAGGGCAGTGGCTGATGGGCAGGGACCCCATGGAGCAGTGGTGAAATCCAAATTTTTTTACTACCAGTTCTGTGGGCGTGGCTTGGTGGCGTGGCAGGGGAAGGATACTGCAAAATCCCCATTCCATCCCCACACCTGGGGGAAGGATATTGCAAAATCTCCATTCCCACCCCACTCTGGGACCAGCCAGAGGTGGTATTTGCCGGTTCTCCGAACTGCTCAAAATTTCCGCTACCGGTTCTCCAGAACCTGCTGGATTTCACCCCTGCCATGGAGAGAGAATCTGCCCATTTCATCTCCCGGGACTGCAAAGGGGGGCTCTTGAGTGACTTTGGGAAGAGGGAAATTATCCAGGGGTGGGATTCAATTTTTTAAACAACCGATTCTGTGGCCGTGGCTTATTTTGTGGGCGTGGCTTGGAGGTCATGTGACTGGGTGGGCGTGGCTAGCTGGTCATGTGACTGGGTGGCCATGGCTATGTCTATAGAGGGCTGAAAAAAGTCATTTCTGACCGGTCCTCGCACTTTTGACTGGTCCTCACACTTATGACTGGTCATCATTTATGCCCATTGTAACATTCTTAACAACCGTGTCACTCATTTCACAACTGCTTCTCTTCACCATGGTGACAAGATAGGGCGAAAAACGTAAAATGTGAGGACAGTCGTAAGTTCGAGGACTGGTCAAAAGTGCGAGGACCAGGCAAAAATAACTTTTTCAGCCCTCTGAGTAGTCCATGTGCACAAAAGGACTACCCAGAGGGCTAAAAAAAGTGATTTCTGACAGGTCCTCGCACTTTTGACCGGTCCTCGCACTTAAGACTGGTCATCATTCATGCCCGTTGCAGCATTCTTAACAACCGTGTCACTGATTTCACAACTGCGGTGCTTCATGTGACTGGGTGGGTGTGGCCAGGTGGTCATGTGACATCGCTTCTTTGCCATAATGAGAGTTTGCTGCAATGATCATAAGTCATAAGTGTGAAAAACGGTCATAAGTCACTTTTTCCAGTGCCATTGTAACTGTTGTAAGTCAAGGATTACCTGTACAAAAATGCAAAAAGCTTCTTTGCTTGCAAAATGCTGCCCTAAATACCAATCATTAGATAAGAAATACCTGCAGACAGGAGTTACAAATCAGGGAGGGTGCCAGAGCACCTTGAGGAATTAAAAGAGTTAAAATGCAATGATAACTATCAGCGGCCAACTCTTGCTCATAAAGTGAAACCCTTTAGCAGAGACGTCATTGAAGCTCTCCAGAATGAAGCAAAGGAGCAAACAGAGTAGCTGTCGCTTGTTAAACCAATGACCAGAACAAAGAGACACAGGAACTAGTCAGATTTCCGAAGCTGCTTCATTTCAGGAACAGAGATTAACATTTTTCCTTCCAAGCTGAATAGGGTCCCATCACTATCCCATCACTAAACACAGGATTAAACATCACCAAGCCCAGAATTAAACTTCACCAAAAACCAGTTTTAGACCAAAAGTCAGAAAGGGTAAGTAAATTCACGTTTGAATGTAAATCTTTCTAGCTAGCCAATAAGCCTTGCTGAATGTCACTCATCTTGGTTCTTTGTCATTAAAAGCTTCTGCTTTGTTATTCAATTATTTCTTCAAAGTGCTGATCATTGAAGAACTCTAACAGGGGAGTATTTCCTCCCAACAGCGGTGTAAAAAGCTTAAAACAACACTTCCCCTTTTAAGAAAGTCAAGCACCTCCGGAACCGGAAGTGACAGTAAGTCTAGGCATACTGCCGGAGAGGCAGTTTCTGTAATAAAGATTAGGCTAGGAAACAACACCAAATGTTGTAATTAATCCTTACAGGATTAACCCTGTAAAGTGGAAAAAAAACAAAAGGAGATTTCTTTTAACAACTTGTCTCCGAACTGCTTAACTACTTAACAACCGGTTCTACCGAACCGGTGCGAACCAGTAGAATCCCACCACTGATGGAGACACAATCTTTTGGAAAGGAGGGAGCCGGAAAAGGCCCTTCACCTGCTCAGCCTGGGAAGGGGGGGAAGCTCTGGACAAGAACTGGGCAGAAGATCCTGGAGGAGGAAACCATCCTCCCTTCACAAGTTCAGCCCTGGAACATCATCCAATACTGGGAGGATGAGGGTCCCCGAGGACTTTGCAGCCGACTCCATGGCTTTTGCAGGCGATGGCTGAGACCAGAGAAGAACACCAAAGCC